TCATCCGTCATTCTTCAGTCATTCAGCAGTCATTCAGCAGTCATTCATCAGTCATTCATCAGTCATTCATCAGTCATTCATCAGTCATTCGTCAGTCATTCATCAGTCATTCGTCAGTCATTCATCCGTCATTCTTCAGTCATTCAGCAGTCATTCAGCAGTCATTCATCAGTCATTCATCAGTCATTCATCAGTCATTCGTCAGTCATTCATCAGTCATTCGTCAGTCATTCATCCGTCATTCTTCAGTCATTCAGCAGTCATTCAGCAGTCATTCATCAGCCATTCATCCGTCATTCATTAGTAATTCATCAATCATTCATTGCGATGACTTTGACCCCGTGGGCGATGATGTAGGTTAGGAGAACCTCCGCTCGTTTCTCGATCACATCAATCAGTTTGTCGATGCCGGATCGGCCACCCTGGCTTTCCCAGTAAAACTGATCCAGGAACAGCGACTGGAGAAGTTTCTGCCTCAGCTTCCTGCTCTGCAGCACAGACACCGCCTGCTCTGGAAACCTTAATTAAAAAAAAAAAAAAGCACATTTACAGCCACATTGGAAATCAGACACCTGCACCACAAATGCTGATCATCTCAGGTGGAAACAAACAGATTACTCATGTTTTGACCAATTTACTTTTAAACCCATTAAAAGATAACAGTTGTTTACCATCTGTCAAAACTGCTGACCCTTCATGTATCGGGGACGAGAGTTAACAAAAGCAACTTAACTTGAACTCTGTACAGATAAAGTTAACGGCAATAAAAACATATATTGAACAATTCAAACACTATTCACTTTCATTTGTGTGTATTATTTAAACTAAATATTGACCTTGTTCTTTTTAACATGACATATCTGTGGTTCTCAGCTTCTAATTAAAGTCTAATTATTTTAAGCAAACAGTCGTTTAATTAAAACTCCAGCTCAGCTTTGAGATGTCGTTGGCATTTTCTGACATTTAAGAAGCATCCAAGTTCTTCAAATGGCTCTGGCTACAGCAGTTTTAGCAAACTATTACATTATAATAAATATAAAGACGACGTCTGTTGTGACTTGGAACTTTATAAATTAACTGAATAAACTGAATTGAACTGAAAATGTGTTGTAAACCAGTCGACAGATTTGAACGCCATTCTCAAAAAATGATGACTGGAAGAACATCCACATGGACTCAGCCCAGTTGAAGATGGCTGCCACAGCAACACAACCTTCTCAAACACTATAACACACTTTGTGCAACATTTCTGGCTCCACACTTTGACAGTATCTGCTGAAATCAACCCTCGCTGCCTGATAGCACATCTGTTGAACCACTTACAGAATACCGTGATACTTTAAGAAAGTAATCACTTCTTGTACAACTGCAACTCATTAACAACCGGAGCCAACCCATTTCAAGATGGCTGCCACGGCTGTCATTAGCCAAAGCAACACGTCTCTAACAGGTAATTTTATGGATTCTGAGGAGTGTTGTCACCAGCTGATAGTCGTCTCACAACGTCGCATGTAATGGATCAAAGATTCTTTGAGGTTTGGACATAAAGGCCATCATGATGCTCAACTTAAGATCTAGTTCAAACTGTAGCATGCACAGTGGCCGGTTGTATATTCCTTCAAGGAACGATTGGCCTTTTTGTGGCTAATGAATAGAAACTGTCGGTATTTGTTTTATGATCAATGTTTTAAACTTACTCCTTGATTCCTTCCAGCAGCCGGAAGTCCAAGTTGTCCTCATTGCGGTCAAAGTATCCCTTGTTGTTTGTGAACACCAGGTGCCCGAGGTCATGCCTCCTATGGACGATGTTTGCCAGTTTTAGACTGTCCGGGTCTTCACAAGAAGCCTGCTGACCCACCTCAGTGCACACGTCCTCCTGCCGGGGCCTGAATCCACAGCAGCTCTGATCCAGGCGGTTGTGAATCTGAGGAGACAGCTCAGATTTATTCAGTGCTCGATCTCACACAAGCACCTTAAAAACTATTTTCTCTAGCTCTCCTTTGCAGGAAAAATAATAGTTGCGTTAATCAAATTAAAAGTTTTTGTATAAAAACAGTAAACATCTCCAGTTGGTTGGTCTGAGTTCCTCTCTGGCAAATTCAACTTCAGTTAACCGCCCCATTGCAGAGGGGAATAAAAACTGAGGGGACATTTTTCAATGTAACACGCAGCACCTCATGCTGCTCAACACCTGCTGCCTCCACAAGGAATTAAAACAGAGAATTACATTACGAACCTTGTTTACACTAAATGAAAAGTCATGCAATGTACATTTCAGACGGTGTGATCACAAACAGGATGAGCAAAATCTTTGATGCTGCTTCAAGGGTTCAGAGAGAACGTTCAAAGCACTCACAGGCAACTGGAAAACTACCTGCAGCAACATGGATGGATGAGCAATCTTCAAGAGAGACAAAACTAATTCATCTAATCCAGCCACACATCCTTAAAGCATACAAGTGTTTACTTCAGAGCCTGCACCAACTGAATCAGACAGTTTATTTATCAGCAAGTGCAGATTCAGAACAGAGCCAAAGTGTCTGACATCAAAGGCGGCGGGTGATAGGCATCCCTGGAATAAATGGAACGAGAGAGATTGGTCAACATCCATCCATCCATTACGTTTACCCGCTTCTTTCTTTTCAGGTTGTGGGGTCACTGGTGCCCATATCCAGCAGTTACTGTGGGAGAGGCAGGGGACACGTGGACAGGTCTCCAGTCCTTAAAAATGGCCACCAGCACACTTCTTCTCCATTCCTCAGGCAGTTTCTCCCCTTCAAACATGCCATTAAATATTTGAGTCACAAACCTCACTGCCATCTCTCCAAGACATTTCCAAACTTCCACTGGTCATCATGTCCTACTGCCTTCCCCTTCTTCATTCTTTTCAGAGCTTTCTGGACTTTACCTTCACTCATCTTCCCCACTTCCTGGTCCAAAGTTTCTATTTCTGTTTTTAGTTTTCTACATTCGCCTTAGAATCTAGCTGTTTTTTTTTTTGTTTTGTTACCTTTTTCTTTTAGCCATCCTATTTGTAAAAAAAAAAAAAAAAAACTGTAGTATGACTTTTTACAACTGTTTATTGTTGTCGCTGTTGTCATGTTGTCATCATTCTTTGTTGAAATCAGGTCTCTCTTGTAAATGAGTCCTCGAGGCTCAATGGGATTTACCTGTAGAAATAAAGGTTGAATGAATGACCTCTACTCTTCTTTCTCTTTCATTCTCTTCATCCATTAGCTCCTCAAAGTACTCCTTCCATCTTCCCCTCACACTCTCCTCACTTGTTAGAACGTTGCCATTCCTATGTTTAACAACCCTAACTGGCTGCATATACTCTCCAGCCTGATCCCTCTGTCTCACCAATCAGTACAAGTCCTTCTCACCCTCTTTAGTGTCCAGTCTCCCATACAACTCATCATACACCTTCTGCTTTACCATAGCTACCTCCCTCTTTGCTCTACGTCCCATCTCCTTATATTCCTGTCTCCTCTCTTCAGTCCTCTCTCTGTCATATTTCTTCTTGGCTAACCTCTTTCTTTGAACAGCTTCCTGCACTTCACTATTCCACCACCAGGTTCCTTTATCATTCATTCTCTGCCCAGATAACACACCAGGTACTTTAATTCTGCTGAGCTTGCTGTCTTGTTATTAAAATATTCATAAAATAATTTGCTCTCTGAGTCAGAGTCAACCCACACAGAAAATGAGAATTCAGTTTAGTCAAAGAAAAATGCATGAAAGTCCTTTAAAAACAAGTACTAATGTTTAGAACACAGTGTTGTGCTCAAACAAATCACAGTTTCCAAAAGTTATTTATCAAACTTGAACATTTTAGTTTAGTTTAAAATCTTGAACATATAACTTGATAATTAATCTAAAAGATGCAGATATTGAGTGAACTTTTAAAATATCTAAACTCTACTATTTGTGCATTTTGTATTGAAGATGAATAAAAGAATGTAAACCCAGTGCCAACATGTGATCCAATGAGGCCTCCCAAACAGGAAATGACATCATTCGGTCAGACGACAAGTCATGGGGCTGTATTTAAATGACTTCTTTGTGAAAACAGCTGTTGGAAAATTCTGCGGAGGACACGCATCCAAAAGTTTTTAAAAGTCATCCATCAATCGTTTTGGAATTTAAGTTATTTAATGAGCTTTGGGAGACAAACTGCTGCTGTAGTTTTGTGCACACACACACACACACACACAGATGTGCAGTTCATCACGTTTGTTTGTGCGGTTTCATTTCTCCAACAGCTTCTGGTACCTGCAGCAGGAAGTCAAACAGAGCTACTTTGCTCCATTCGCAGTGATGGATTGTGGAGCAGCCGGAGTCGGGTTTGGGCCGGACGTGTCTGTGCCAACATCTCTGTGTCAGAGAGTTCTGGTACTCCCTCCACGTTAAGCTCACAGTGAACGGGCCTGCAGCAAGGGCTTCTGGGTAGAGCGAGGCATCCCACGACACCACTGGGCAGGACTGGACACCTAAAGGAGGAAACTGGGATTATAGTTTGAAGTGGAGCAGCCGAGACATGCAAATCTTGCTGAACCACAGAAGCATCAGTTTTATTCAAGTTGACAGAAGCGCCACAGCCTAACGTCGATTTCTGACCTGGAGAAATGGAGCAGAAAGGAGAGCAGAGAGAGCCGGCCTGTGTCTGAAGATAAGACTATTTTACCAACGGTAGAGCTGTAAACACAGGGATGATGTAATTTTCTGTTTGTGATGAATCAAAACAACGTGATAAAAATTGTTTCCTTGTTGAAGGAGAACAACGGAGCAGAGACAACGACAGATTGTTCTACCCAGCGCCAAAGGCAGAAGTAATTCATGTCAATGTTCTCCTTAATGTGTGTAAAAATATTCCATACCAACATGAAAACAGACATTAGTCACAAGTGGGATAATTATTATGCAAAATAGGGAGGAAACAAAAAATTACTCGCTGCTTTAAAAAGCTTCCCCACCAGCTGTGTTTCCTCTCTCCATGAAAATGTAAAAAATGAACATATCTATATATATAT